CTTTTTCTCTAACGATGTGTTCCCATCCCAACCAAGCCATTCCTTCTGGAGCCCGCCCGGTCCGCGTATCGCCCACCCCTCTCTCCACGCAGAGCGCGCACCGAGCGCGACTCGGGCCCGGCGCTACGAGCGGAAATCCGCACTCACCGCAGCCGACGGAGCGCCCTTCCCCGCGCCTCCCGCATCTTCTCCGACGGCTCCGAGAGCTGACGCAGCCCCGCTCCGGGCGGGTGGTTGTTCCTCCGGCGTCGGTGCGAGCGGAGCAGCGACAATAAAGCGTTAATAAAGGAACTAAAACCTGGAGAGAGAGCGGGAGAACTGCTAAAGCGGCGAAGAAAGTTCCAACTTACCGATGGGAGCGAGGGGGAGGGGAGGCGGGGGGAGGAAACGCTTCGAAGACGGACCAAAAAGAAAAGAAAAGAAAAAAAAATCCTGGCGTTAGACACAAGCTTTGCGGTGTGAGAGGTACTCAGGAACCCTGTCCGAGGACGAGAACGGGGGGCAGCGCCGTTCCGCCACCTCCCGGTTTCCCGAGCCAAGGGGGAAGCGGGGCCACACAGAGCGGTGCGGGCGGGCGGCGGCGGTGGGGTCCCGGCTGCGGAGCGCTGCGCCGAGGGCAGGTTCTCCGGTGAGGCAGCAGCGTGCGGGAACTCCGCCCTCTGGGCACAGCCGCACAGCCCAGCGAGCAGCCGCAGCCAGCCCCGAGCCCGCTGCTGCTGCTCTTCACCTTCACCTCCCGCTCCCCCGCTCCCGCCACGCCTGACCCCGTCACCCAGGCGCTGCGCTGGGCGGGGGGCGGGGGGCGGCACGGGGAAGTGTGGGGCAAAGCCCGCCGAGGGGTGCTGCGGGGTGCGCGGGTGTGCGTGTGCGCATCCCCAGTTGTCTATCGCCCTCCTTGAGTTCTGCACTGTGCAATAGGTACGTGTCTGCACCTTCCCTGGGACTGCTGTGCTATTGAGAGCTACGCAGTATATCCTAAATGGCGGCGCAGATTTCTCAGTGAGCTTTCAGAAGGGAAAATATCAGCAATTAAAAAATAGAAAATATTTTTTTTAGAAGTTATCATTTATCAGTGCACTTTTTCAAGCAGAACTCCTGTATGTTCAGGCCAAACACAACTGGGTTCAGTGGGAGTTTTGCCTGAGTGCTGCTGCAGAGTCCATGTTAACACGAGCGATGCGGAGGTGTACACCTGAGCCTCAGCTCCTGCCCAAAAACCCTGAGGAGTATCTGAAGCAGTTCTAAAGGGCGCGGTGACGTCCCCTCTACAACTCTTCTTCTTTTTTTTTTTTTTTTCCTTTTTTTTTTCTTTTTCCCCAAGTACAGAATTAAATTAAAAAAAAAATTACTCCCTCAAACAGTGGTTTTGTGCCACTTAAGGCAGAATATATTATATACATACACTCTTCGATTTTTTGAGAACGCTTTCATAAGATAACGGATACTATTTTACTGAAACTTTTTTTTTTTTTTTTTTTTTTTTTTTTTTGTCTGTCAAAAAAATAGTCGGCAAAATACCCTATTTTGGATTCGAGATATAATTTATTATCTCTCACGCGTCTGCGAACACAATCTTAAAACTGTAATTGCAGGTTTCTTGATGAGCAGTTTTCTTCTGCTACGGTCTATGCAAGCAAAGTTAATCGCCTCAACCACCATCTTGAGGAATAAAAACAGATCTAGAGTCCACACAGACCAAATGGTACAAATAGGGAAACGGGGAGAAACACTGCAACGCTCTGCAAAGCACATCACAAAAATCCTGAGAGCTTTGCCCGAGGGTTTGGCACATAACGCCCCATGGAAATGAGGATCAGATAACAGAATCTTTGCTAGATATGAAATGAAATGAAATGAAATGAAATGAAATGAAATGAAATAATATAAAATAAAATAAAATAAAATAAAATAAAATAAAATAAAATAAAATAAAATAAAATAAACCTCACATTCTCTACCAAAAGATTCTGCATAAAGAAGAACCCCAAAGACACTCAGCTAACAAAAGAGTTTCTATGCCTGGAAACAGGCAAAGGTGAAGGCGTATTTTGGGCCTTAGCGGCGCTGCTACACCCCGTGACAACCTCAGCATTTTTTCCTCCCGAAGACGGTCTCAGTGCTGACCGTACGTGCACAGAGACGTGCATACATTTCAGCCCCGGCACCAGCCCTTCCCCCGTACATGGGAGGGAGGGAGAGGTGCACCTGAAGATCTCGGCAGCACTCGGCTGCGCTAAACCCAGCGCAGAGCGCTCAGAGCCCACTGAGATGAACTCTGCGGAGCCATCCACTGAAGTCCCCTTCCTGGGAGTTATTATGCATCACGCTTATCTAATTAATGCTATTATCCAGCCCCAAACTGCCATAGCTCTGAGATTGTGCCTTCCTCCAACCACACTCTTCTTGTCCCCTTTTTAGCACACTCTCAGCAGATTTTTTTACACTGCAATCTAAATAATACTTTAAGTATGTGCTATTGAGTTACCTGCAGTATACAACCGATTGGAAGTAGTAAATAATAAATCATTCTCTTTGTCAGCTGCAGCAGATGCCATCCTTTTAATTTGCTTAGGCACAAAAGTACAGAGCGAGGTCCCGAGGCTCCAGGAGTTTCAATCACACCTATTTCACTGTATTATTTCTGATGGCCTCGTTGCAAAGCAGGCTTTTTTTTCTTTCTTTTTTTTTTTTTTTTTTCCAGTTTTTGCGATCTCCCCTTTTAGTGACAATGGAGGGAAGGCCGGGGGGAAGGGTTCTTCCAAGTGGAGGTATCACCTTTTCCTCCCCAAACAAAGCGGCCCTTCTCTCGCGGCGGTGATTAATTTGGAATTGCAGAGGTGAGAGTGGATCAGAGGATATCAGAGTTTCCTCCGCGGTTCTCCACACAGCGCGGGGCCGGGCATCCCAGCTCCCAGCAGAGTCCTTCGCTCCTCTCCCTTCCATGCACATTTGCCTGCATCTGTTTATTCATCACCTATTTTATTCATCTTCTTCCTCCCCTTATTCTTTTAAATATTCTCATTGCGAGAATTCAGATTTCCTATTGCTTCTTCATTCACCCTCAGATTTTTTTTCCCCCTTTTTTCTTTCTCATTCCTGCCTCCCTCAGCTCAGCTCTTTCAAGTGCCCGCGTTACCATCTCCGAGCCCCGCATTATTTCCCGGGGCCCATTGTAGTGTCTGCCGCTCAGTCTTACGAGCCCAGAGCTGCCCCAACACCGCAAATGAACAGCTCCGTTCTCCGCTGCGGGAGCCAATTAGCTGCTAAACCTTCTGCACAACTTTTCTAATTATTTTCAACAGTTATGGCTTTCATAGGGCTCCCTAAACTGACCAAGAAAGGATTAAATACTCCTTAAAATCAGTCATCACGTTGCCTCCTAAAATTAATGGATTGGTTTTCTGTACTCGGGTTAGTTTGCTCGGATTTGTGCCAGCACTGTCCTCAGCAGGGATAGTGCAAAAGCAGGCCAGTCCTGAACTTTGTATTTGAACATATCCACACTTCCTCCCCCCCCCCCCCCCCCCCCCCCCCCCCCCCCCCCCCCCCTACATTTCAATCCCTGCCCCAGCACCGCATCCTGCAGGCCCCCATCTGGCTCAACACGGCCCGCCCGGCCCGGCCCGATGGCTCACTCCTGCCCGGCCACTGGCAGACGCGGGTCAGGGGCGGAGGAGGTGGCTCGAGCTCCCCATACAATCCTGTGCAAAACGTCCAGCCCAAGGTTAGCAGCATTGAAAGTCTGTAAGTACAGAGCACAGACACTTCCGGAACTGCGGAGCTTTCAGATAAGGATTGCATTTAATACACGTACGCAGCATAGCTTGCCAAATTTGATCAAGTCATTATAGGAAAGCTAATATGTATATGTATATATACACACATTCATAGTTCATATAGCTTCACTTATCATACAGTCGGAATAACGCCTTTCGGATGGATAATTCTTTCAGATCATACCAAAGATTGCAAAAAAAAAAAAAAAAAAAAAAAAAAAAAAAAAAAAAAAAAAAAAAAAAAAAAAAAAAAAAAAAACCAAACCAAAAAAAAACCATGTTCTTAAGAAATAAACCATGTACCTGTACTTTTTCCTAGCGCGTTACATATATATGTATGAATATATATGTACATATCTACATACATTCGCAGTGTTAAGCGCGCTCAGTGTCAGACCGCTCAGCACGACCCCCGCCTTGCACTGCCATGCTCAGGCCCTGCACCTCGCGTGGGACCATGGGGTATCGCTAAAACCCGCTCCTTTCTGTCCCCAAACATTGTGGTTAAACACGAGGTGATGTGGGGGTTGGAGAAGGAGCCTGTGAAAAATGGAGGGCCGCTGGGCTAGGCAGCGTGCTGACCTCCCCGTAACTTTAAAGCCTCAGGAATTTTAATTTTAGTTAATAAAAGAGACAAAAAAAACTATCAAGTATATATGAATTTAGCCTATTTTTTTTTTTTTTTTTTATTTCTGTGTGTTCATAGTAAACATTTTTGTAAGTGACAAACACGGGCATATGACCACAGTATCACAATCAAGAAATTTTAAGACAACATTAACAATCACTCAAATTTATGCGGCATTTGCGCAACACAGGTTACATATTTGCAAGGTTTACCTATAAGTACAATAGGTATTAACATTTCACTACATTTAGAAAAAAAAAAATAAAGGTGACCTGTTAGTGACCACATACATCAAAATATACACAACACAAACTGAAGGCAATCAGTAATTTTGTCCCCTTCGGAATCATTGGAACGGGCAGTGCTGCGAACTGAAAGAATGCGGCTGTTTTTAAATTATTCCGTACACTGAGTGCATTTTCTAAAACCCAATCTTTGGTCTAAAAGTAAACAAACAAACAAACAGGAAAAATAATAATAATAAAAAAAATAAAAAAGAAGAAGAAGAAGAAGAATGAGAAGAAGAAATAATAATAATTAAAAAAAATAAAAGTAGTCAGGTAAAGAAAAAGATAAAATTATAAATGGCCAAAACATAGTTTTTGGGCATCTCTCAGTATGAATCTGCTTAAATACAAATTACACTTTCTTTTTTATAGTTTTCATAAATCTAGTGGCTTTTTTCAAGGTCTGCACCCACCGACATATCCATGATAACTTATAATACTGCAAACATGGAGAATCTGGCGGCTTTAGAGATGGACTTTTCATGTTAGAATAGGAATCGCGAAAGCAGTCACTATTAGATACACATTCTACTAGAAATTTGTCTTCCAAACTCCATAGTCTACAATGTAATCTCCCCACATTGCACCTCGCTGACACTCCTTACCCTGGTGGCATAATAAACAACCCTAAAGACTGAACAAACGTACAGAAAATGGGGGACTTAATAAAAAATACCTGGGCTTTTTTGTTTTTCTTTTTTTTCTTTTTTTTCTTTTTTTCCTCTTTTCAATCATCATTTACAACGCGAACGTGTGTAAAATGTTCACTTACAGTCTGATCCCATGGACGTTAATGTATTAAAGGGTTGGAAGAAGACCCCTGATTTTGATGTGTGAAATAATCGGAGAGTCCTCCGGACAGTCCCGTCGTGAAACTCGGCAAAGAGGGTCTTAGGGACTCGCACGGCAGGGTGGAGGGTGCCTGCGGCGATGTGGACGAAGAGGCGGCCCTGGCCGTCATCGAAGTGCTGCTCTGAGAAGTCATTGAGGGGTGAGGGACGTGGGGGAAAAAGTAACTCGTCTGTCCCGCCAGGAGGTTCACGGAGCAGGGGTTTAGGGAGTAGGTGCCGGAGCAGGGGACAGACAAGCCACACGGCACCGAGGCGGCCAGGGCGGCGGCCGTGAGGTGGTGAGTGGCGTAGGGGATCTCCCCGTTGACGAGTCTATCGACGCTCAACCCGTTGGACGTGGAAAAGGAGTGATTGTTCCCCAAGGAGTTCTGAGTCAACACCGAGCTGTAGGGCATGGGGTGGCTGGGGTAGGCGGACGCAGTCCCGTTGTAGCTCAGCGTGCTGCTGGCCCGCGGGTGGTGCAGGGACAGAAAGGGGGACATGGGCCAGTAGAGGGACCCCGCCCGGTCCATGAAGGTGAGGCCGGTGGAGGTGAGGCGGGCGCCGCGCTTGAAGGCCAGCTTGGCCCGCGAAGTGGTGGAGCGCCGGCGCAGCTTGCCGGTGGTGCCTCCGATGAAGACGTCGTCGCTGGACGGGTCCAGCATCCAGTAGTTCCCTTTGCCCGGGTCGTCGTAGTGGCGGGGCACCTTGACGAAGCACTTATTCAGAGAGAGGTTGTGGCGGATGGAGTTCTGCCAGCCCTGCTTGTTCTCCCGGTAGTATGGGAAGTTCTTCATGATGAACTCGTAGATGCCGTTGAGCGTCAGGCGCTTCTCGGGGCTCTGCCGGATAGCCATCATGATGAGTGCGTTGTAGCTGAACGGTGGCTTCTCGTACTTGCCGTTCTTCTTCTCTCCCTCCTTGCCGCCCTCCCCGTCCTTGCCCCCCTCGGCCGCCCCCTTCTTCTCCTCGGCCGCCTTCTCCTTCTCCTCCAGCTCCGCCGCCGCCGAGCCCGCCTCGCCCTTCCCCGCCAGCGCCTCGGCCTTGGCCGCCTCCAGGGCGCCGGCGGCGGGCGGCGGCAGCAGCAACGGCGCCTTCTCCTCGTCCTCGTCTTCGGCCGCGGCGGCGCGCTGGGGCTGTTGCGGCGGCGGCGGGTGGTGGTGGTGGTGGTGGTGGTGGTGGTGCGGATGGTGGCTGTTGTGGTGGCTGTGGCCGCTGTGGTTGTCGCTCTGCACGGCTTCGGGCACCAGGCTGTTGATGCTGAAAGAGGACTTGGGCAGCATTTTCACTTCCTTCCTATCTCCCATGTCCAACATCACACGCTGCGCCGAGGGGGCGGCTGGCGGCGGCCGGGGCCGGGCGGGTGGGGGCCGGGCGGGCGGCGGCACCACCGGCGGCGGCGGCGGCGCGGCGGGAGCGCAGCGTCAGGCGCTGGCACGGCATGTAGCACGGGCGGGGGACGGCGGCAGCGGTCACCGAGCGGAGAGAGCCGGAACGAAGGGGAAAAAAGAGGAGGAAAAAGGAGTAAAAGAGCCCTCTAAAAACCAAACAACAACAACAACAAAAAACCAACACCGCACGCACACGCATACAAAAAAAAATAAAAAAATAAAAAGCTACTTCATGGTGCCGGTTCCCCCGGTAAACCGGTATAGGGGGGAGGACGCGCCGCGGGTCGGAGAGGAGCCGGCTATACGGAGCGCCCCGGCCGCAATTAATTTCAGAGCTGCAGACACGCACCGTGGCTGTAAAAAATTTTTTGGTTTAACCTTTCCCACCGGGCGCCCAATCAGAGGCGGCGGCGTGCCGGAGCGTCCTGCCTCCCGCCGGCCAATGGCTGCGCGCCGCCACGCCCACACCCCCCCGAGGCCACGCCCCCTCTCCGCCGCGGCTCCCGCGGCGCAGGGATACCGGTGCGGGGCGCATCACCGGCCGTGCCCCTCCGCGCAACGGCACTAATCCCCCCGTGCCCAACCAACGGCGCTTGGCTCCGGGGTTCCGCTCGGTAACTCCTCCGGTGGAGCAAAGTTGCCCCGTCCCTCCGTGCCACCGGCGCAGGAGGAGGACGGGGGCTGGGGGGGCGCGAAATCCGCGCGGTGCCGGAGCGGAGGTACTACTTGGCGGATCCCGACGGCGCCCGTCGGCAGTGTGTTCCCGGGCCCCGCCGCGCTGTTGTTATTTATTTAACCAACGGGGAGCAACGAAACTCAGCCGGAGGGGTCGGGACGGCGGGGCAGGAGCTGCAGCCGGGGCCGGGCGGGGGCCGTGCGGTGGAAGGGCTCGGGCCCGATGCGGCGGCGGCAGCGCCGGGCGGGTAGAGGCCTCTGGCCGAGGCCTGCGGAGCAGCAGCACCGCCGAACGAATTAAGCGCCCCCGCACCACCCCGAGTCCCGCGGGCTCCGGCGCAGCGCCCCGTGCAGAGCCTCCGTCGGCCCCGGCGGGGCTCAGTGTGGGCCGCGGGAAAGGGAACGGAGGCTCCGTTCCGGTGGTAGCGTTGGTCAGGGGCTCGCGGAGCGGCTTCGGCGCTGCTCGATCGCATCACGGCGTTACCGCTGTGAGTACGGGCAGAAATGAGAATCGGCCCCGAAACAAAGCGAGATGAGCCCCGCGGCTTCCTCGCGCTGAAAGGAGAAGGGGAAATGTGAGTGATAGAGTATCGGTCACGTTTAAAATGAACGCTGTGCAACACAACGTACAGCCAGCGCCTGTCGCTGCGTTCAACTACCCAAAGTTTACGTTTGTCCCGCTGGTGAAACGGTTCCGTTGAAATGACACCCGCAGCCCTGCCCCAGCAGCGTGTCCCGGGAAACCCAGTGCAGATTCCAGTGCAACCACCACGGCTCTGCCTTTTCTGTATGCGTTTGTGGGTATGTGCGTGTGTGCGAGAGAGCGGCTGTTAGAAAGAGAGTAAATCCCCACAACAATTGCCGTGGATGGGCAATAAACAATTGCAGTTGGGCATGGCACGAACTATGTGCGTTGGATTAACCTCGCTTGACCTCACCACAATTGTATTTATTTATCCAATTCCGTAACAGGTTGCTACTGACCGAAAAGAAGTAGAAGTCAATGATCAACTCCCTTCGTTTTGTTTTTGTTTTTTCTTTTTTAGAAATGCTGTTGTTTTAAAAAAAGAAATCATGACAATTTGTATTTATTTCCTCGCACAACACTGAAGCCAATAGATGGGAACTCCTGAGGAAGAGCGCAGTGTGGAGGATGTGACTGAGCTCTGCAGTGCTAGGGGTAAGAGGAAAGGTAAGCTCTGTGCATATTGTTATGGTTCTGATCGGCATTAACCAATATATGTCAGTGCGGTGCAGTAAGATCCCATCGGGGTGGCTGGGCCCTGTGCGTTTTCCTACTCGGTCTAGCATGTAATGATTCGGTGTAACCGGATTCTTGAGAAAGGACAGGTTACGTAAACATTTACTGCTGTGGAGTAACTATACTATTTGTACTCTGATATGCAGGAAGGAAAGTGTTGATTAACACAGAAGAAAAAAAAAAAAAAGCGAAATTAGCTGATTGCATGCTCATAAGTGCAAGCTGTCATTGAACTGCTTTTAAAATAGACACAGCTGGGTGTTTGTGTTGAAAAATTTCTTGTGTTTTTGCTAATACTGAAATAAGCATGATTTTGTATACCAAACATTTTCAGATCATTAAAATTTGTAATCTGCGCTGGTTTTAAACACAAAGAAAAGAAACGGATTCATTTCGCTGTAAAATTTGCTGATATTATATTAACTCAATCAGGTCTGTACAAACGGGGTATTGTGCCTTATCAAATCCCTTTGATCCATTTAATACACAAAGTGCCAAACGTGTGTATTGTTTGTTAACATTGAGCGTTTTATTCAAATCCCAGCTCTGCAGCGAACCGGAGGAGCTCTCGTTTAATGTAACACTGACATCGCCTGCTGAAATTTTAATGCTCTGAGGTGTTCCTTAGGTCAAAGCTGAGTCTGCTTAGCACTGCATTCAGGGATGAGAACATAGCAGAGAAGGAAAGAAAACCTTCGTCCTTTTGCATTTCTGAGCAAAGGTCCAATACGGACAGCAATGTGTTTTTACAGCGTTTGATGATCTAGGCTTAATATTCGGTCATATATCACGGCAGCAGAATAAAGTACTGTGCAGAAATTTAGGATTTAATGATGTATTTTTTTTTAGCGCCATGGATATACAGTTCTACCAAAAAAGGTAATGTTGTGTTCAATATGTAGTGCGTATTGTTCCAAGTCCGTAAGATTAATTCACTGTTTATAGGACAGAAAAGGATATGTAGGAAAAGCACGTCAATTATTTCTACTGGACTTTCGAGTCTGATTTTTCTTTTCTTTCTTTTTTTTTTCTTTTTTTTCTTTTTTTAATTAAAAAAACCTCCTGAAAATTCTCCATGTAGAAAAGCGGGACTATTGGCTTTGGACAGTCGAGGTCCTGCTCTAACGCCAGTTCTTCTGTTAGCTCTGACCTGACTGCAACTCCCGGCCACTTCAGCGGTAGCTCTGTATATGGTGTCCCTGAATAAGTGACTGGTTTGACCCTCTCGGCTCCGTCTGCACTCGAATTCCTGTAAGAGGGTCCAGAAATTTAGCACTTTCTAGCATGAAAATTTTGGTGGAGTGCCTGGCGAAACAGCTTGGGCAGAGAAGGGAATGCACGGCCCCAGCCCGGCGGGGCACGGCCAGTGCGAGGAGGGGCAGCTCTGTGCTCCCCACCCTCAGGGACCCGTGGCGCTATGGGGCCGAGAGAGTCCTGCTCCGGGGTGAGGGTGGGGACCCCCGGCTCAAGTGCTATCCAAGGAGTTGCCGTGCGGTTCGAATACAGATTCTGGATACAACTCTTACTGATAACGTTTCACCGCAGATTCTTCCCTGCATGTTTTTTAAAATTAAAGGCCGAAGGAAAAGTGTACCACTGTCAACTCGATGGATGCAGATATGCTGTGGGCCCCCCCACCCCCCGCGGCTCCAGCCTCCAGTCCCCTTCACACGAATACAGCGGCTCTGCACTCCCAGGCTCTTCCAAGGGGTTAAGCTGCTAAAATGTCCTGACAGCTTAAGGAATGAATGAGGGTTTTTTCAGCCATGAAGAAAGAGTATTTAATAACCACGCTTCGATGGCATCATGTGTCCACGAAACGAGTCGGGACACCTTAGATTAACAGCCTCTAATATCACGTTGGGTACAGTAAATGCCTGGATGTGCGCGTTTATAACTCTATCCCCCAGATTCTAAGCTTGTCTTATTTATTCCAGGTTACCTGGGCAATTAAGGTAAGAGCAGCTCAGCAGACAGCGATATCCCGCTGCTCAGGCAGGGCGAGTGGGGTCGGAACGCAGCGCTAACAAAGGCGAGAGGTGGTCATACAGATTGAAGAGGGGTGAATGGGACTGAAGGTGAAGGAATGAATGGAGGCAAAGAGAGAGAGGAAGAAGTATTCAGCGGTCCACCCTTACATCCGCGTTTGTATATTTAAGTTTAGGTGTCTGTCTCTAACCGACTTTCAGTTAATCCCTAACAGCTGGTCGTGGTGCTAACGTTTAGTGATTAGAAGGTACTCTATTTAGCATGCTGTATCCTTCTTGCCTGGGTTTTGGTTACAGGTTATACGATTAGCATTGCGAGAACAGTAGTGAACTAAACTTCCCAGTGAGAGGTCTTCACACCAGGGAAGTGTTACTTTGCGGCAGCAGCCCTGCCTCGTCAGTCATTAGGAAGCTGCAGGTTGTCAGAGCCTTCTCTTGCGCGCACACACGCGCAGACACACACGCGCACACACACAAAACCACAGCACTAAAACTAAATTAAGAAGCCGATGATTAAGACAAGCGTCTACGAGGCCTGTCATTTCAGCATCCTTCCATCATAACATTATGGCACCGAGAAATTTGCTTTAAAACCCTGGAAAAAATGTCTATGGGAGAGCCTGGTATTTGAGATAGCGTAAATGTTAACATCGAGTGTAGGCTGGGAGCTGCCGCGGATGCAAGATGGTATTCCACTGAGGACACGGGTGCTGCAGGGACCTCTGGGCTGTCCGCGCACTCGGGTGAGTATCGCTCCATTCTATTGAAGCAGGTATGCAGGCACTGCGCGAATCGAAGTGGACCGCGTTTGAAATCCGCAGCTCCGTTCCTTGCGGAGACTTCGGGGAACTCCCCCTAAAGATAGATCTATAATGAAAAGTCCCTGCCGGATGACTAATGGTTATTGGCACTCGGTGCCCCTTTAAGGAGAGCGGCACATATTGTGCAGAAGACCTTGCCAGCACCCTTTAAATACAAACATTTTAAGCCCCCCTCCTATGCATCCCCACCCCTGTTGT